CCTGGAGGGGGGGGGGGGGGGGGGGCCTCTGTTGGACAGGAGGGGGCCGGCTTCATGTTACTGCAGAGATCCAACATGTAGCCATGGAGTCTGGGCTTTCTCAGAGGTCGCCCTTCACCTCTCTGTCCTCTGAAGGACACATTGATCTTCAGCAGACAGCTCACCACTTAGATTGTTTTTGTCCAACCAGAGGGCGGGCATTCTCCTCTCCTCCCCTCCTCTCCACTCCCCTCCTCTCCACTCCTCTCCTCTCCTCTCCTCTCCTCTCCTCTCCGTGGGAGCAGAAGGGTTGGACGGCCTCACAGCCGTCTGGCCCGGAGCCTCCCCGCTGAGGAGGGAAAGCTTCAAAATGGCTCCCGGCAGGAAATCAGTAACATGCGCTCACCTCCCTGTCTCTGGTGTTGGAAATAATTTGAGATTACGTTGATTTTCTGGCGCTGAGTTCACTCCAGGCAAGCATGCAAGCATGCATGAAGTCACGCAGGGGGATTAAGGAATATATTTTTGGGAAAGTGTAATCTTCTCTGCTGTAGAGGGGGGCACAAGACTTCTGATCCAGTCCTCCCACACTACGGAGGTCCAGCTCAGATCTAGCATCATTATCTGATCCAATAACATTTGATATGTTGTGTGTAGCGGCGCTGCTATGTAAACCATCAAAAGGACGAAAACATTTTTTAACCATGAGATAAAAATAGGCACATAAGAATTCCGTCTTTTAATAGTTCAGTCATTCGTTGCCCTTGTTTACTGCCTGGATCCTGTGTTTGCCTGTGGTTGTTGTGATGTTGCCGTTGTTTGGAGTGCAGCTGAGGTTAGTGGTGGTGACAGAGAGGGGAAGTCAGAGCAACAGAAACACTGCAAAAAGCAACGAGAAACCGCAACACTAAACACAACACAAGCAGGCAAAACTAACCAGTTTCTATATGTTTATATAAACACACATACTGCACATCATGCTTTAATACCACACTACACATTATGTAAGGCTACATGGAATTTGTACAACATATTGATTTAAACGTAATGGTACGGTCTGATGGCTGAGCTTTCTGGTACCAACGGCTGAACGGCGGCTTACAGCAACATCTCTTAAAATGGCGGCAGCACTGATCCAGGTTTTCTGTAACTGTCAGCTCACATGTTCTGTTCCATCAACCAGTCTTTAAACACTGCCAGAGTACTGGTTTCCCGTTAGTGTTCACTTCCTCTCTGTCTTCTTCTGCTGCTGCTTTCTCTGTCCTCCAGCTTGTTGTCTTTAACCTCTTTGCAACTCTTGCACTTTTTTGTCTTCTTCTCTTTTTCAGGACAGTCTATCCATCATGAATCCAAAGTTTCCCGCTCTCCACAAATATAGAAATAGATATTGAAAAAGGTTGTGTTTTCGATAGAGGATCATATTTTTGTGGCCACTACTTAGTTGAAATTCACCGGACTTCTTGCTGCGGATGGATATGACTGCATAGGATCCCTTAATCAAAACATCAGTCTGCTCTTTTTCCAAACCACACTGACCGATCAGAATGGAGTTTTCAACTTAACCATGTCAAATAATGAAAGGAAAGCCGGTCATTGCAAACAGCTGAATAAATAACATGCGTGATAGGAGGGGATGTAGTGAGCTGTCTCTGCTGCCGTCTCCTCATGTCTCATGTCTTTATCTGCGAGTCCTTTGATATCCAGCTTCCATCCGTCATCACGCTGCCGTTCCTCCCAGTCTCGCCCCCCCCCCACATTCTTCTCTATCCCCGGCTGACAGAACGACCTCATGCTACTGCGTTGTTTTCATTCAACGAGCAGGAGGTGACTTCCTGTGTAGATGTTATGAGTCGTGGAATGAGACGGGAGTAGTGGTGTGTGTCGCTGTGAGGAATCTCCTAACTCTGGAACACACACAGAAAATGCTCTTCAGTAAACCGTGGTGATCCAGACGATGCATTTAAGCACATTCAGTACATATGTGGAGCTCTAAACCTGGTCCTTTGTTTTCCCAGGTCTTTAAGGGTGAATTTCAGCTACCAGATTTCCTAAAAGAACAATCACAGGTACAGTAACATTTCTGCCTGTTGTCTAGCTTTTCTACCATTGTTTCTACACACAAATCCAGTTTTTCTTTTTAGTGTCTGATTTGAGTTGAACCATCTGCAGCTCATTGGAAGGTCTCCTTTCAGATCTCCATCTGCTCACATTTACTCATCTCTTGAGTTTCTTGTCATTAAACGCAGCTTGTTGTCCGCCTCATGATTGTCTCCATGCTTTTGGTCTGTAGTGGTTCTTTAGTTTGTTAGTCTCTTGATGTTGCTTTGTTGTGTCTGGGTCTAACAGTGTGATGTGTCTGCAGAGCACTGGTGCCCTCCTCTGGTTGTCACAGCAACCTGCATCTTTTTGTCTTCATGCTATAGGAACTCACTTCAGAAGAGTCTGTTTGCTTTGTTAATAATGACGTTCTTTTCACGCAATCAGCCCTCTTTTTTCTTTGATTCATGGGGAAAGGACATACAAATGTGAAGTCAGTGAGTCAGCTGACTGTGGAGAATCTTCTTGGAGTTTTCAATTCTGGTATTTCCTTATCTCTCACTCTCAGACTGTAACCTGTGTGTGCGTTGTCTCCTCTTTGTTCCTCCATACAGATTCAGAAGTCTGCAGAGAGACCCAAGCCCAGTTAGGATCAGCAGAGCGCCTCACCACACACAGGTACACAAGATCCTGCTCTATGCTCCATTGCATTCATCTGTTACTTTCACTGGCGGATTTGAAGACATAATCACAACTTGTAGGAAATCAAACATTTGAATGCTGCGCAGATTTCTTTTTTACTGTTTCAGATGAAATTAGTCTACACCAAAATACAAATCTATACTATTTGAAGAATACGTTTCCAGTGGTGGCTGTGTAGGATTGTTTCAGGCTTATGTGATCAAAACATTTCCAATGACTCCAGAGCTGTGTAAAGTCAAAATGTATTGAAAACAAACATGTAGTTTTATGTGTATTTCTTTGAGTTTTAACCTAAAAAACCAAATGTTCATTGTCGTCAAAATACTGCTTCCTCTCCTGCTCAACGCACATTGTATTAGCATGGTAGCAATCGAATGAAACTGACTCATATACTCGCAAAAAAAGAGTTGATTTATTCATAAAATGTCTGACATTTAATTGATGAATCACACTTAATGAATTATTATTTAGTTGGAGGATTTGGTTCCATCATTTTCAATGATGACATCATCAAATATGACAAAGCTTATTAAAAAAAGTATCAACTGTTCAGCCTCAGATGTTATGTATAAAACACACACACGTCATTCAAACGTTCTCTACCTTAACCTCACTTCCTGAACTTGTAATACTTGACACCATGTATTCACAGGATCGTGACCTATAGTAGAGTACAGACGGTAGTTCTGCCTGCTCAGACCTCCTCAGGGTCCACAGACACTGCTGCTCTAACATGTCGGCCACCATTTCATCCACCACTGCCAGAACAAATGGCATATGGTAACTTTGTAAGAATATTCAATGGTATTCATATTTCATCCCATTCTTTTTCAGTCCATTGACTATTGTGACATCAATTCATGTTTAGTCTGAAATAAACTCGGTAACCAGTAAACATGCAGAATGTTCCAGAGCCTGAGAGGAAATCTTGAAACGACCAGTCAACAATTATCTAACTTTAGGTGATAAGATCTATTGCCCTGTCTCGTCTGTACACTGAATATATACTGTTCATGCTAACATTAGACCGCCAAGATATGGCCCCCACTTAAACCCCCCCTCAAACAGGGAGTGGTTGTTTTCATGCTTTGTTTTTATACGGATAAACATATGTATTTATCTGTTGGGGGGATTTTAGAACCATTTCAGCCAGGCTATATTTGTCCTTTCTTTATGCTAACCTGAGCTAACCCACTACTAGCTCTGTCATCTTAACAAGCGGTATAGACCTTTTCTTCTAACTCTCAGCAATAAAGTGGATAAGGGAATTTCCTTTCATGTCGAGTTGGGAGTGGTAAGTTGGTGAAACCCAAACTAATAAAGTTTACAGGCCGCTGATTAATCTCTGACTGAGTCGTAAAACTGCTTTTAATTAAAACAATGCATTGTGATGTCTCTAACAGGACCAGAGGAGCGGTTGGAGAGAGAATCATGGCCATCGTCTCACCCGCCCCCCTCCATGTGTGTTGGGCCTCGGTCACATGACCTCAGCGGAGTCTACGGAGAACTCTTGGCCTTCGATGTTGTACTGTACAGAAAATAATACTAATACTTCTCACAGCCACAGAATGTCTGCTGATTGTTATTTTTCGTGTCACATCACGCTCATCGATTTTTAGAAATTATTTCTGGCTATTTAGACAAATTCTGTGATTCTGTTGTAAGAAAATGCAGTGAACCGAGATCGCAAGAAGCATTTATGAATGAAAAAGTTAGCTTTTGGAAGATGCAATACCTATTTTAATGTTACTTTTTTTCATGCCTTTGTATTGTGCAATGCCATGGGTACTGATCGGTATCATCCATGATAAACATTGTTGTTTTTGTTTTTAAAACTGGTGTCAGTCTGGTTATTTTTGGTTGAATGGTGAAACAAGATGCTAACTTGTTATTCTATTTGGTGTTAGACAGCTAGTGGACTTGAGCTTTGTGAGCTTTGTGTTTGGACACTGATGAGACCAGTGAAACACTTCTCCCTAAATTGCTTCTGTGAGCATTGTCTACACAGTATTCAATGTGTTACATATCTAATATATGTAATTTCATGTAATGTAAAGCGCTTTGATTACTTAGAAAAGTGCTCAAATAAATACCACTAATTATTTTTTTCAAAGAGGTCAGGAGAATTGCTGAGCTGGTGGATGGAGGGAACTTCGGGATTTTGGCAAAAACCTATACAACACACCCTTAAAGGCATAATAGGGCTAATTGAACATATACATTTTGATGACCTTCCTAAGAACAGTTTGTTCTGGTCTTAACAGGATCAATTCTAATCAAAGAAGGAACAGAGCAGCCCACTAATGAACAAACTCTTATTTAATAATACATTACATTCAAGGCAAATGATACATACTCAGCAATGCAATCATTGGCTCTCTAAATAAATAGAAATTTGAAGTCAGTGCACAACATTGAAAAAGAACACTTAACAGTCAACGTGTAACACAGCCTGCACACATTCCACATCCCAGAATACACCTACAGCTAGTGCTGCTAAAACCAACATAAAAAATAGATCTCAAAATAAGTTATATATATATATATATGTTCTTACTGTCTTCATATAAATATCGGGCTTTCAGGTCGTATTTACAGCAACGTAGACTCTGATGGGTTTCTTCAAACGACAGAAGTTACACAGTAGATAAAGAATCACCATTTCAAAAATATTATACACACATAGTAAACAGTCAGTCTTCAAGATGCAGTATGAAATTGCACATTGTCGTCATGCCACAGAGGGGGCTGCTTCAAGGCTTTGGTACACAATGTCCTGATTGGAAGAAAAAGCTCTGCTACGGGCCCCAGGTCCCCCGGGAGACCCTCCTCTGTCAGGGTTCAGTGGGGGGGAGCAGCAAGGTACAGCCCCCCCCGCCTGTTTCCTGGGATCAAACTAGCGAATCAGAGAGCTGGATGACTACAGTACACTTGAGGATTGGGGAAGACTCTTGGCACTTGGATCACAGGTGCAGGTCCGAGCTGGACGACCAATCGTATGCAGCCGTGTTGGACATTTTAAGGAGGCGAGGAGATAAAGGGTCACATGGCAAAGGGGGATTGGAAACCGTATCAAAAATGTCCCAGATACCCTTCAGATACAAACATGAGCGTACTCTGTGCTGTCAATGCGAAGACAAACCTGATCCTGATTCACTGAACACTAGAGGGCGTTTGGCATTAAAAGCAGCTTCTTTAAATACACACACTTTTTTTATTTAGACCAACCCAGCCCAGGTATGTCTTATTTCCAGAGGCTGGAGGAGAATCAGGTTCCACACGGACAATTGCAACCACTTTTCCTGACAGTGAACATCCTTTACACCGAGTCACTCTAGGACAACTGGGAATATTTCATTGTTTCATACTGTCTACAAATCCCATGGAAAGACCCAAACTAACGATAAATGTTTCCAACTAACATGTGTCTGTGGCTTTGCATCACTATATGTGTCATAGAGCTTCACTGCCGAACAAAAGCTCATCACATTTCCAGCAATTAAAAGTTTAAAAATGAGGGGAATACCTGCTGCTGTAAATATTAAGTACAGCATCAAATACATATACATCTGCCACTCAAAATACTTTTGTTTGTGTATCGCTTTAAAAAAAAGAAACTATATTTGGAGAGCCCGTTTTAAAGATGAATGTCCTCAGTGGGAACCAATGGGAATGAGGCTGAGGCTACAGTGAGTTGGAAATGCTTGGGCTCTTCATGGGTTTTGATGACTAATTATAACTAATATAACTAAATCTAGAATAATGCCAGGCTTTTTCCTAAAAGAATAGACAATTATAGACAGTTCATATAGTCAATCTGTTCCTTTCCTTTTTCTTACCAGTGAAAAGTCTATAATACTTGATTAATTGGACAGTTTTGATGTTTCCTTAGTCAGTGGGTTTCTCAGCTTAGCGTACTTATCATCTTGCAGAGGCAAACTGAAGCAGGGCTGCATGCAGGATTTTTCAAACACTGATGTCAAGATATTTATTCTAAAAAACGGTAGCATTTGAAACTTGAAATATGTAATATGTGTGTAATCATAGACTAGTAATCCCTCCAGTGGCAATTAAACGCCCTAAATGACCAGATATATTACAAAGCCATGACCTTAGCATCCCGAGTGGGGAAAGCCTTGTAACTACAAAACAACCACTTTTATATCAAAGTATGGAGGAAGGCATGTGCTTTGCTGTTGTGCTCTGCTGCCACGTCACTCAGAACAAGGACTACCCGCTCACTGCCATGCTCAGGAAAGTTGGTTGCAATTTATCCCAGAATTCTCCACAGTTGGCCGCTTGTGGCGCCTCCGGCCCCTGAACAACTTAGGGAGGCTTTCACAGGCACCAGGAAGGAAATCCTCACAAAAAAGTACAACTAAGTACCTTGGGCTGTTACTGATAAAGGCAACATTTGTGTGAGAATGAACTCTCGGACAAAAAGCAAAAAGGGGGGGTAAACACACACACATGCTTATAGTAGAAAGCACTCATGAAAAGGTAGTTGGCACAGTCCATTTGGTCACTAATGAAAGCTTCTTCTTGGCTAATTCTTCTGCTCCTCGGACAATGTTGTTTGTAAATCCCGCCCCCTGTCAACCACTCAGAACGCTAAAGCATCCTGACAAGCATCCAACATGTTCTGGTTCACTCTAGAAAAACAGCAGTATTGATAGAGCCAATGCTGTCTGGAAGTATGTGTGTGTGTGTGTGTGTGTGTGTGTGTGTGTGTGTGTGTGTGTGTGTGTGTGTGTGTGTGTGTGTGTGTGTGTGTGTGTGTGTGTGTGTGTGTGTGTGTGTGTGTGTTTGTGTGCATTCATGCACGCACACAAGCTCTGTAGCACTGGGGAGACTCAAGGATGTGTTCACAGTGTGATCAAACTCACAAGCATGCAGACAAATCCACATGTCTGAACGGACACCGAGGGCATTCCATGTGAAGGTGAATGTAAACAGTTGAAGCTCCAGAGCCAGGCTGTTGCTGCGGCGCTCTGCCCCACTCCCAGGGCCTTCAGCTGGGCAGGAGGGAGGCCTGGACCCCCCGGCCCTGCTCTGGATAGAGGAAGGCCTGGAAACACTGTCTCTCTGGGGGAGGAGAGGGAGAGTGTTCCCCCCCTCTGAATCCTCACAGTCCTCTACAGTCACTTGTTGTCCATCAGAGACTGGACTCTGTGCACCAGCTCCCGCGCTACCTTCAGGATATGTTGGACATCATGACGCTCCGCCATCTCTGTGGATCAGACACACAGTTAGAGGGGGAACTTTAGAATATAGAAATAAATAGATTTCACATCACCTGCAAGACCAAACTCTGCTTCCATAAGATCACAGGCTTTTCACCCCACCATCGTGTGAGGCAGGGACGTGCACAGACATTTGGAGGGGCTATTGCTCTAAACTGGAAAAAGGGCCTCCCCCCCGAAAAAAAACACAAGACCTTTTGAAAATTGTAACTTGTTTTTAATGTAAAAGAAACCAAACAATTATTACATCAACTAAATTGAACAGTAATTCACAGATGTGAATTACTGTTCAATTTAGTTGATGTAATAATTGTTTGGTTTCTTTTACATTAAAAACAAGTTACAATTTTCAAAAGGTCTTGTGTTTTTTTTCGGGGNCTTGACTAAAACAAACAGATGCCATTCAAGTACACTTGAATATCCATGCCATAGCACACTGCTTACTGCACGGCTATTGAGACCACACAAAGGTTCGCAACATGCTCACAAATGTGAGAGTGGAAAACTGGTTGGCATTCGGGCAAACCTAAGGCTCTCTGAGCCGGACACAGAGCCATCCTCAACAAGGCTGGACAGTGACACTGAAGAGGAAGACTCAGAGTGTGATGTTGATGAGGCCCAGGGAGAGCCCGTTGACTGAAAGGCTTTAGCCAAAATGCAGAGGATCGCTTGAAGGAAGATGTTCATGTTTAATCTGACTGTTTGGAGGGAGAAGGGCTCTTTTCATTTAACATTTTGAATGGGACTTTGTGGATGGGGGGTGCATTTTTGTTCATCTTGTAATGAGTGGGGTTGGAGGGGATGAGTAATAACACAACATTCCTGTTTTCGTTCTTCAATGAGAAAAAATATTTGTTCAATAAAATAATTAAAACTTGTTCTGTTCTACTTAAAAAAAATATATATTTTTTAAATATGTTGAAATTTCATGTTTTTTTGTTTTCCCCAGCTTAACTTCCCATGGAAACTTTCCGTAAACTTTCCGCCCCTTTGCAACCCTAATTAGGACTGATACATTCAAACTGCGAGAAAATCAAACCAGAGAAGGCAGTTACTTAAATGAGACTCAATGATACAAACCCTTCTCCAGATACTTGCAAAGCTAGTCTTACCGCTCTATACAAGGTGAAGAAGAGCTGTGTGACGGACTGACTGACCTGCATTTGGCTCCTGATGAATACATTTGTTGCCATGGGAAACACATCCAGGTCACCTCTTCTGTATGTACTTAAAATAAGTCCCATTGGTCTCTGCCAGCGGAAAGATTGAGGAAGAGGTAGTTAATTCTCTCCATGGTGATCTACGGTACAGTACACTGTCTCTACTGGTCTTCACTAATGACAGAATCACTCATCCAGTGATTGATGAGTGCCTTTATTGGACAGTCTGACTGTGAGAGTGACAGGACACATGCTGTGAGAGAAAAGAGATGACAGACACAAACAAAGGATGTGTTTGTAAGCGTGTCGTATGTTTCTGCTTGACCAACAGAGGACGCCTTGGTTGTCATACTTTAATCAACAACTGTCAATCACGTGGCCTCGCGGGTGGCACATGCTACATACCCCACGATATGGAAGGCATTGACCTTT